CATGCTGGCTGGGGAATTCTGGGAGTTGAAGTCCACTCATCTTAAAGTGGCCAAGTTTGGACAACACTGCCTTAAGGACACCAGCAAATACACGCAGCCTCATAATCTGGGCACACATGAGAGCCCCACTCTGTAATTCCATGTGTTGCTATAGTATTATTTTCCTTTAAAAAATATTTTAACGTCATGGGGCAGTTAGCCAGGTATGCATATGGCAATTGAATGTCTTTTATTTTTTTTTCCTTTTAAAAAAAAGTAAGTATGTGCTTATTACCGAATAATTCACAACTATAGCAAGCTCTTTGTAAATGAACAATACAAGCTTAGAGATTTTAATTTGTAAAGAAATCTGAGATGTGTCATGGTTTGTTGTTCCAATCCAGGGGTGACCAGGGAATCAAAATGGTCAAGACAGAAACCCTGATAATGCAATCAAAGCCCCATCCTTTTTTATGTTCATTGTCTGTGTGATGAGTGGAAAAACAGGGGCAGATCTTCAAACGCATGGTCACAGCAGCCATCTTGATTTTGTGATATTCCCCCCCACTCCCCACTCCACCATCCTGGGTAAAAAGCAAAAATCACTGGCCTGAGGATCCCATGATAGAAGACAGCCTGCATGATGGTTGACTGAAAGCACTCTCCGTATGTTTTTTTTTCCACCATTTTTTTAAATCTTTGTAATTTATTTTGGTTATATTTTTAATCTACTTTTATCTACTGGGATTGTTTTATTGTATACGCCACCCAGTCACTACATGAGATGGGCGGCTATATAAATGTGATAAACAAATAAATATGTAAATATATAAATAAATGGCCCCCACTCCAGTCCTGTACCTTCCTCAGCCTAGCACCTCCCCAAAGATGCTGTGATTACAACTCTTAAAATTCTCACCCAGATGGTCAAATCCTACACATTTAAAAGGTGCCAAGCTGAGGATGGACACCTTAGTGCATCTGATGAAATGTCTAGCAGGCCCTGGGAATATGGGGGAGGAAACAGGACTGTTGCAAAAGAGAAGCTTTGGCTCAGGGAAGGGGGAAAGCATGAGAAAGAGATTCAGAATAACTCTGCCTTAACTACGCTAGGTATAAGTAGATCTGGAGAATTGCTTCGGCAGTCTTTCAAGATTCTGTTCCATTATTAACATCAAAGATTTCTCCAGAAATCCAAGTGGTTCTTGTTTCTGAGTTTGTCAGCCTTGTAAGGCTTGACAAGTGTTAGAAGTTTGGCATAGTGCTGCTTGTTGTGGGTCTGTCTCTCTTCCCCACCCCAAAAAAATTCTGGAGTGTCTAGAGTCCAGAAAAAACTTCAGCCCTTGATTCTCCTGGTTGTATCAATGGTCTTTGGAATCTGCTACAGGTGGTGATCTCTTCTAGCCTATCTTTGCCTGATTTTCATCCCTGAATTCTTTTCAGTCTGACTACAGCTGTAAACATCAGTTACTTTTGACTAATAGCTGAGAGATTCAGGAGGCTTTAAGAAAAAGTCTAAAAATATCTCTCCAGCAACACCAGCCTTGATTGAAGTTCTTTTCAGATAGGATGGATCTGGATCAAAGCCTCCAGTCATGCTGTAGCCTTTGCCCCTTCTTCATCTCATTTCAGCTGCTGATTATCAAAGGAGGAGATGGGCTGAGAGATGTTTGCAAGGTTGGTGCTCTGTATTAAAAAAATTAAAAAGCCTAAATCTGAGCTCCCGGCACCTTATCCATATAGCCACAGCAAGGAGCCCTTTGGTAAAGCCTTTCCCTTTTTAAACATCTCCTTTCCTCATTTCTATGAGCCAGCTAAGGTACAGAGACATTGTGAAGGTGTCTGAGAAAAGAGATTTTCCCCAAACTCCCAAGTTGTAGACACCAACAAAAAGTGGATTTATAAAGTCCTAGGCCCATTGCCAGAGGCCTGGACAGGTTCTTCTCTTTTTATACCCCAGGTGACTACTTTCTGAGCAAGCCCAGAAGCTGATGAGCAAAGATAAAGACTTCTGTCAACACTACCTTTGCTGTTGACTTTGGGAAAATAGGAGCTCAAGACCCTTTGAACAGCTGAGATGCCCAAGATGCAGAGAGCGTTCCAAATCCCATCACACGTTATCTACCCAGATGCCTATTCCCATTTAAGGAGTGCCTTTGTTTTGTTCAGCACACTGTCCCCTTCCCTCTTCCCCATGACAAATCAGTTGTCAGCTAAGATCCCTCATAACTCCAATCATACCACAGCAAAAGGTCTGCCTCAGATCAGGGGTTTTTGTCCCTCTTCTGAAGCACTGATTTTGTCTAAACAGACAGTCTTCTGTTCAACTTGCCTTACATTACACCAAGGAAACACTTAGAAAGAAGTTAGCACGTATTTTTACAGAGTATGGAGAACATCAAAGGCTTCCTTAAGGATACCCCAGAAATAATTATGAAGCCTTCAGATGTTACCAAACCATAACTTTCAGTAGCCCCAGTCAGCATAGCCTACAGTAGGGGATGCTGGGAACTATACACATACTACTCCTAATGACTCCCATTACTAGAAGTCAACCTTGAATACCTAATTGGAAAGGCTAGAGGTGTCTATTCATATAATGGATGCCACAGTAGAGGTGACCAGTTCCTGAAACCCATGTATGGGAAGACAAACTTTGCCCCCCTCTTTATTTCCTCTCCTCTCCACCCCTGCTGTGCTCTAAAACCACCATGACCTCAGCTGCCCTTTACCTCTTTCCTGGAAAAATGAGCTCCTTTCAAAATAAAAACATAAGGCTAGCTATTTTCCAAGAATGCCACTAGTGTGCCAATGTGGAAATAAAGATGCTACTAGATATTGCCATTTCGCTATGAAGTATGCCTCCTTCCCAGATACAGACAGACAGACAGACAGATTGGATGAATAGGTAGGCGTTTAAATTGAATCACAGAACCTCATTGAGGGCTGTTAGGGTACATACTGGCTGGGGAATTCTGGGAGTTAAAGTCCACACATCTTAAAGTTGCCAATGTTGAAAAGCACTGGGTTAAGATGTTAGACAAGAACTGGAGAGACTCAGGTTCTGCTCCCTCCACAGCCACAGAAGCTCCCAATCCCTCTTTCTCAGCCCAAGATCCAGAATGGCGTTGTGGTGAAGGTGCTGATCTAGGAGCAGGAAGACTCAATATCTAGTCCCTCATTAGCCACAGACAGTTTCAGTGTGACTCTCTCTCTGAGAGACAGATCATTTTCTCTTTCTTATTCCAAACGATTCCATAAAGTTGTTACAGTGGGAAAAAATAAAAGGAGATCACATTATATATCCCACCTTGACTTCTCAGAGAAAAGATAGACCAAATAAATAAATAACTAAATATTAAAACATAACAAAAATCATAAAGACAGTTAGGGGCAAGCAAAGTAATGGAAAATAAGGAGTATCCACAGGTGGAGGTCCTACATTTCCTACCTCTACAATAATTATACCAACCTTCTCCAAGTTTCTTGGAGAACCTAGCTGAGAAATTTCGCAAGTTGCAGCCCAACATATCTGAAGAGCATCGGGCTAGGAGAAGCTGAACTGTCTTAAACACAAAAAGTAAGGGTGATTCCTTTGCTTGGCCCCTCGCCATGGCATTTGCAGAGATAGAGGAAGTGTGCTTTAGTAAAGCCATCTGTGCACCAGCTAGATATTAACCAAATGTTGCCTATCCAGCAGCAGGTCTCCAGGAGTTCTCACGGTAATCCTTTCCAGGGCCAAGAATTGAACCTGACATCTTTTTCATGAAAATTGTATCTGTGGCCCTGCCTTCCCAGACTCTCACACTGTCTTTTTGTAGGTGCTGGGTCTTCCTCTACCCCCGGCCCACAGAGAGCAGGATGCGTGGCCTACTTGCACGGTGATGACACCATGAAGAGCTACCATGGGGACCGCAACCAGTCACGGGAACACCCTTGCCACTGCATCCCAGAGGCCTGTGAGCAACCAATGGAATACATCCACCATAGCCAGGAATCTCGCCAGCCATACCTCCTCAGCCCCAGTGAGCCTTATTCCTTGGACCACTACTGCTCATCCCGGAGCTCTGCTGACCCTCTCCTCAGCCTGACTGAACCACTCTCTGCTGCCAGCAGTAGCAGCACCTTTCCTAGGATGCACCACACACCTCAACAGTACGACTCCTGTGACGAGTGCATGGCGGCCGCCCATCCTTCCGGCAAGATCAACCGGCTGCCCCCCACTCTCCTGGACCAGTTTGAGAAGCAGCTGCCTCTTCACCACGACGGTTTCCACACCCTGCAGTACCAGCGGGCCAGCAGCACAGAACAGCCACGCAGCGAGAGCCCCAGTCGCATCCGACATCTTGTCCATTCTGTCCAGAAGCTCTTTGCCAAGTCACATTCCCTGGAAGCCCCATCCAAGCGGGAGTACAACGGCACCAAGATGGAAGGGCGGGGCACAGAGGGCGGGTACCATCACCACCACCCTCACCACCACCGCCAGTCACGGCACGGCAAGCGTAGCAAAAGCAAAGACCGCAAGCTGGATTCCTCATCCTCTTCGTCCCGCCATCGGAACAAGATGATGGGCTGGTGGAGCTCAGATGATAACCTGGACAGTGATAGCAGCTACATGGTGTCCGGAAGACAACATGCTGTTGACCAGAGCACCCAGTACTGTGTGGACACCCCTGAAAGTGCCTTCCGAGACTTGACCTTGAAGGGTCTCAAAAGTGGAGGTGGAGAGGGCAAGTGTTTAGCCTGTGCAGGAATGTCCATGTCCTTGGATGGCCAGACTCTCAAGAGGAGTTCTTGGCATACCATGACAGTCAGCCAAGCACGGGAGGCTTATCCCAGCTCAGGAGGAGGCCCAGAGAAAGCCTTGATGCTTCAAGAGGCCAAGGCCAAGGATCGGTCCTATCATTATCTTCAGGTAAGGAGGTGGGTAGACTGTCCAGGGAGCCCATTTTCTACCTTCAATTCTACTTTGATGAGTTATTCAGATACATAACTGTCCTGAGGCACATTGCCATCCATTTCCAACTTCTATGTCTACCTTCCACCATCGGTATTTGGATTACAACTTCCAAATTCTAGCCAGTGTGGCCAGATTCATCTGGATAACCCCCAATTGGGAAAGTTTGTTCTGTATCCTTGTTGTGTTCAGCCTTTTCATGGCGAGGTGACAGAAGAGTCCTACACTGGGTGGGAGATCACATTAGATGAGCCCCAAGACCTCTTCAACTCTTGACACTCCAGGGGTGTCTGCAGGGGGAACAAGGAGGATCCCGTGACAAAATAAGCATTGTAATGTCCTGATGCAAGCTCGGCCCTTTCTGTCTATGCATCAGGGTGCGGCACAAACATATGTAAGAGATGCAGCTTGTATCACAACATTGCAATGCTAATTTTGTCATTCTAATGAAGCCGCCAGATTCTGTGGATAATTCTGTAGTCTTCTATCATTCAATGCCTTGTTCATACAACATATTTTGCCAGCTCCCATAAAGACCTAGCAGATGCTTTCATACAATATGGTAATCCTGGCTAGTTTTAACCTTGTTTTGGCTTTTTTTTTTCAGTTTAGCATGCTCTTGAAAACCATTCTATGGTATTAATTTATGGTTCAGCACCTAACTCTAGAAACTGAGTAATAAGATGAAGCGTGTTCTGTGAAGCAGCCGAACTTTGTATTGTTCTGTGTCGGATGGGAGAAAAAGAAGGCTTTTTCCCATGTTGCCTGCTAAATGTTCTGGAATAAACCCCAAGATTGCACATGTGCAGCAAGCTAGGTTAAAATGTGGTTTGCTAGTTTATAGCTTAGCATGCAGTGTGAATCCAACCACTACAGGTATTTGTGGCTTTCCTTGCACAACACACTAAATCAGACTAAAATGGAGTTGGACAGAAACTACTGTTTTAGCAGGCCATTGCATTTAGTTGGACATAGTATGATAACCAACAGTGGTGTTTTATTAACCCAGATTTAGAATTCAGGATGCTCTGTGAATGGAGACAGTTGAATGAATTTGGTAAAATGGGGGCAGGTCAGTCATGAGTGGACAAGTTGGGCAAGCAGAGCTGGCTAAAGCAATGGAAATGAGAAGGCAGAACAGGAAAACTGGAGTTTTGATCCAACCAGGGATGTCGCAGAATATGGTCAAAAACATGAAGATGAGCTCCACCTTTTTTTTATGCACAATACACATAAAAATGGGTGGAATTTCAACTGCATCATTGTGACTGCCATCTTGACTTTTTTGACCATACTCTGTGGATCCAACTTATCTGGCATGGCAGACACCAGACTGGAAAAGCTGTATTGAGTATGGTCATTCCGGAAACTCCACAGCCTTTTGAGTCTCCATCTCAAAAGTGCAATGATGCCCTTTGACTTCCGTTGCAGTCCTTGGAGAGAAGGGGAAATTCAGTGGCCCATAATTAACATGGGAACACATTCAGCCGTGACAAATGATCCCCCACACTCCAGACTTCTCTGTCTTTGTGTGTGTGTGTGTGTGTGTGTGTG